CCCCAAAACCCCAAAACCCCAAAACCCCAAAACCCCAAAACCCCAGAAGGAATAAATTTGTTTGAAAATAATTTTAAATATGCCAGCCAATCGAAATATAAGAAATGAGGCTCAGGAGCAAATCCGAGGATTCAGGGAGCCAGATTATCTGCACCCAGGCCGGTTTGGGAATCCCTCTGCTGGCACAGTCACCATTGATACTTCTGATGTTGATTTTATTATGAAAGAAATGGAAAAGAAAAGAAATGGCTCATCTATGAATTCCAAAATGCTCCATACCACTTTTCCACCAGGAGTGAGTCTTCAGATAGACGATAACAGAAAAGGGAGCATTAAAGACTTCTTGGATAGCAGGTACTACATCAAAGCAGATGAAAACCTTGTCAAAGATGCTAAATATTTCTCTGAAGCTTCATTCTCTCTTCAGGATGATCAATATGCTAGTGGAGGTACACCACCTCAAGGATTTCTTTTGGACCCTGTTTCTAGGAAAGGAACTTCAAGGAGCGACTTTGGGTTAGCCCCTTGTGGAGGAGCCTCTAAAGGTCAGGCAAGATTGTTAGCTGACCCAGGACAGAAAACTGAAGTTCAATGGCTCATTAAAGATCCAGTCGAAGGAGGTCATTGCCAGATCAGACTCTCAAGATCAGAAGAGGATGACCCGAACTCATTCGAATCTCTCCATGTTGAAGGGAATGGATATGATAGCAGAACAGGAAAATTTAAATGTGGAGATCCTCACAAAACTGTAGAGACTGCGACTGTCAAACTTCCTTATGAAACAAGCTGTCCTCATTGAACACTTCAATGGGTGTATGAAGCCCCTGGATATGGCAAACTTTACCAATGTGCTGACATTTCTATTGTGGATCCTGATAATAGAGAAGACTGTGAAGGGAAATGCCAGAATGAAGGAATCTGAGAAAACAGAAAATGCTATTGAGTAGCAGGATTTTCAGGAGAATTCTGTGAAATTGAAGGTAAAGCTCCCAAAGATGAAGAAATCTCAGGTGAAAACGAAGCTGGTGAAAATGGAGAAACTACAGAATTTGCCGAGCAAGATGGAACACCAGAAACAGAGGCTAAAAGTGGGCACGGGTTTTTCTGGTATTACTTCTGGGGACTACTCCTCGCTCTACTACTTGCTGCAATAATCTGTGCTTTACTCTGGTACTTCCTAAAGCCCATCCTCAACCCTCTCCTCTTCGGCAAAATAGAATTAGACGACGAAAAAGAGAGTCTAAACGAAGACAGAAACCCCCCAAGAGGTAACGACAAGGGCAAAAACAAAGAAGAAGATAAGAAGAAGGAGGACCAACTCAAAGAACAAAGACAAAAACAACAAGAGGACAAGAAAAACGAAGACAGGAAGAAAGAAGAGGCCAAAAAGAAAGAAGCAGATAAAAAAAAGAAAGACCCCAAAAAGAGTAAAGAAAAGAAAAAATCTAAAGACAAAAACAGTAAGTCAAAATCCAAATCTTCAAAATCAAAAGACAAGAAGAAAAAGGACTCTAAGTCAAGCTCAAAATCTAAGAAGAAGGATAAGAAGGAACCAGCTTAATAATTTATGAAAAATGATAAATATTTCACTGGTTTTAGGAGGATGTAGGGGGGCAGGGAGGTGAGGTAGTCATGGGGTGATAGTCATGGAGTGTTCTGAGGGTATGTGGGGGGAGGGATGGGGAGTAGAGAGAGGGGAGGGGTACATGGTGATTGGTTTAAGGATTTTTAAAAGAGAGTTTGAAAATTTTGGATTTTTTTGGATTTTGGGGGAGAAAAAATGAGAGAATAGGTCTTAAGACCTCATTGATCTTCAGTCGGTGTCTTAAGTAATTTGGGAGGGTTGAGAGTGTCAGTCCTTCATTTAAGAATTACAGAGATAGCTTCTGTGCCCATTGTAAAAGTTGGAATTTAAAGTAATAAATATTTCAATTGAAATGGTTCTGCAGGGGTTTTGGGGTTTTGGGGTTTTGGGGTTTTGGGGTTTTGGGGTTTTGGGG